TATATGGAGTTTTCAATGTCAAATGCGTCCATATTGAAGTGAGAGAGGCATGCCTCAAGAGGATTTTCAGAAAGAATGGAATGAATGGCTTCTTCAATAATTTCATCCAAGACATTCCACCATGAAACACTCGTCTTCATTGATAGGATGTTAGCTTGTGTTGAACACATTAAGCTTAACCATCATATTGCCAAAAGATATGTCCATAATGTTGGACCTATAATTGATTGTCGCATTAGCAGTGGCAAGGAATAGTCTTCCTAAGATTATTGGAATATAAGTGGTAGGATTAGGAACCGGCTCAGTGTCAAGCACAACAAAATCAACCGAGAAATAGAATTTGTCAACTTTGATAAGGATGCCCTCAACAATTCCCCTTGGTTGTTTTGTAGACCTATCGGCGAGTTGAATAACTACTGAGGTTGGCTTAAGGTTTCCCAAACCTAATTGAAGATATACGGAGTAAGGAATAACGTTAACACTAGCCCCTAAGTCAAGAAGAGCCTTATGCACCTCATGGTTCCCTATGGTACAAGAGATGGTTAAGGTGCCGGGGTCTTTGAACTTAGGTGGGGTATTAAACTTAATGATAGAACTCACTTGCTTCATGAGAAGCACTTTCTTTGGGCTTGGTCCATTGTTCTTCCTCTTTTGAGTACATAAGTCCTTCAAGAACTTGGTATATGGTGGAATTTGTTGAATAGCATCAAGAAGAGGAAGGTTTATCTTAACTTGTTTAAAAACTTCCATTATGTCATAGATTTTTCCTTCTTGCCTCGAAAATGGAATAGAGTTTAAAGCTTGAGGAAATTGAGCTTTTGACTCATAAGGCTTCTCTACATGGGAGGAAAATGATGATGATGGAATTGGCTCCTTAATGTGACTGAATGTCCCTAGTGAAGTAGGGATGGAATTGGGAATGGTAAATGGGCTAACATTTGGTTGCACCGAAACATTAACTTCATTAGGTTTTTCAATTTCGTTATTAATTTTTTTTCCACTCCTCAAGGTGGAAATGGAGTATGCCTTTTGATTAAGCTTGGGTTGCATAGGCCCTTTCCTTTCATTGATTGAACTATTTGCCCTATTTGGACTTCAAGTTTTGCAATTGATTGAGAATGCGAATGAAACACTTGATTTTCCTTTCAAAGATCACCCAAAGCTTCTAAAACCTTGTCTTCAAATATGGGATTTCTAGGAGGCTCATGAAGTGGATGATAGTAAGATTGATGATTTGAAGATTGAGAATTGGAGTACTGATTCACATTTGGAGGAGGATAAGATGGAGAGAGGTATGCTTGAGAGTTTACAATTCGGAGGTAGGGAGGCACATACTTTTCTTGGAAATTTTTATGAAGAGGATGAATGATACCTCCTCCTTGATTTCTTCAAGAAAAGTTAGGATCATTCCATCCGGAATTGTAGGAGTTAGAATTTGGATTACTTCCCAGATGAATGAAAACAACATTGACTTGTTCTTGATACTCACTCGGAAAACTTTGTCCAATAGGACAATTGGAAGTATTGTGAGTATAACTAGAGCAAGTCATGCACATCACACTTTGAGAATGGAAAGAGTTGGATGATTGAATTGCCAGGTTTTGGCTCAAAAGGAATTTATCAAACCTTTGAGTAAGATTTTTGACATCGGCAGCAATCCCCATGGAACTCTCCACTTGAGAAAGATTAGAGGTTTTCTTCCCTCCTCCATTTAAATTTTGGCCCAATCGGGACGATGAAGAATGATGCATTGAATTTTCGCTCATGCGATCAAATAAAACAATTAATTAAATACCGAGACTATCCTTTTAAAATTAGGGGTATTATACTTTTGTAATTAGTTTCCTGTGTTTAGGGTCCTTTGCTTGCTTTTCGTTTCCTCTTTTCATGGGTGGGACGGCTTGTGGTTGGTGACGGAGTTTTCCGGTCATCGGCGGTGTTTTGGGGTGGTGGTTGTTTATGTGGATGCAAATTCGTTTCCGCTGTCTTCGCCATTGCCGTCTTGGGGTCATTGGTGTTGCCTAGATTTTCACCCCCGTTTTTTTTGGCACATCTGAAAGCCGAAGCTCCTCTTACTTGCGTTGGCGCTGTTTTTGCTTCCTCCATTCTGGCGTTTACCGGCCTCTGTTCTTGGCTATGGCGCTTTTAATTTTGGTAGCCATCTGAATAATTCCTTCACGGAAACACGGGCTACTCAATGGATTTCTTATAGCCATGCCTTTAATTTTCAAATCCCTTTGTTGGATATTTCTTCCTCGTTGCCGTCTTGGTCATCGGGGACAGCGAATCAATCTCCCGGTGTCCTCCCATTATGGTGTTTTCCAGTGATGGTGGATTCATCTTGCGTCATGCTGATGTTGTTTCTTTGGCGTAAGGACCACGCTGGTGCAAAGATGGGTCTAGGCGAAGCTTCTAGTTCTTAGGGGTGGGCTTTCTATCACATGGGTTTCTTTCGTTGGACTTTCGCTCTAAGCATTGTTAATGGTTATGTAGGCTTTATGTCTATATTGGGTCATTTTGCTATATGATATGTTTTGCTTGAGCCCAATGACTGGGTTACTTGTTCTGTGTGGATGCTTGTACCATGAATCCATGCATGAGCCTTTTCACATTCCTAATTTGATTTATATCCTCTTCAATAATAACATCTTGTAATAATTTTTTTTATTTTTACTTTATAAAAAAAGAAAATTAAGCCAATATATCGTCTCAAAATTAAGTTTGGCTTGAGCATCAAATTGCAATCCAACTTAATCGATACATTCAAACTTGACCTGATAACAATTCATAAAAAACCCTTAAACTTAATTAACATGTTCAATCTAATAATCAAGTTCGATCTCCAAACTCGAAATCAAGTTTGATTCAAAACATTAATAAAAGTCAACAACAACTTGAATTGCCTAAAAATAATGAGATTATTTTACAAGTGCACATTTTGAAAATTTTATTAATTGGATATTTTAATTCCACTATGGTTGAGCTTTACATATAAAATTAATTTGCAACAAGTGGAGAGATTAGTTAGAGAAGAATACAAAAATGTCAATGTCCTTACCTGCTGGACTTTTGGACCTTTTCTTGTGTTTGGTGTCACTTGACCTGACCTAGTGTGCCTATCTACGATATTAATGCACTTGTCCATATACCAACCTCATCAGCTACCCATGATGATGTTAGCTCATGTTCATTTCTCTCACGTTCAAATATTGTCCCTCCTTTATATCAAATTAAATCAAGAAATTAATTAGAACAAGAGCCTTACCAATTTTACAGGAGTTTCTAGCTGTGTTGTGTTGATTAATGATACCCACCTGCACTTTGTGTGATCATAATATCATATAAATATATTATTTTTGACGTGTGGTTCTCTCTTTATGACTTATCACGCCTAATTTATAATTATGTTGAAAAACGAAGTGACTAAAAATAAAAATAAATAAAAAATTTATACATGAATTTGATTCGATAACTTGATGGAATGTTGCATTTTACAGCACTGAGATAATGAGAATAATTTTAAATAATCGAAATTTCTTTATCTCAATGGATTTGTCTAAATCCATCTCTTTTACCCAATTGTTTATACTCTTTTTTCTATATAAAAAATAAAGAATATACACAAAATTAAAATAATCTAATCTAGGTTTGAGAAATAAAACCCCCAAAAATACATATATATTTTTTCATCAGACAAATAATTATGACAATTGACAAAGAACACACAATATGAACAACATATATATATTTACAATTTGTTGAGATGAAGAGAAATGCAGGTTATTTATAGGAATCTCTTTCTTTTTTTTTTTTTTCCTCCAAAATTTTTTTTTCTCTTTTTTTTATTTTTTTTGATCAAACGAAGTATATGTGTTAAGGTTAAGGTTGTTTTTCTATTTATAAATATCATATATTAGTTTTCGTGTCTTGATTTTAATTCTTTAAAACATTATTATTATTATTATTATTATTATTATTATTTTGTGATAATTTTTGAAATATAATTTTCATGTCATGCCCTCATACAATTCCTTCTGTTGCGCCAAATATGTACCTTTCAAAAAGAATATACTACGTACCAAATATGTAGCTGTCCTTGTCTTTCACAGAGATATTATTTGTAGCATGAAAACAAAAGTTTTATTTAAGCAAGCTTAATATATCGATCTCAATTTTATTAAAGCAACTTACAGAAGCTAATTGTTTTCTATTTTTTTCCTCACAAATTTAGAGAAGGGGATTCGAACACTAGTATACCTGTTCGGAAGGAGATGAACACTCTATCAGCAACTAATAAAATAATTTCAAATAATATGATAAATTACTTGATTAGTTTTGCGCATACATAGTAAAATATGATTAACACAAATAAAAAATTACTTCTGTACAATAGACAACTTAGTGTCGGAAAATAAAAAATGGTATATTCTTTTGCCCAACACTAACCAACCAAAAAGCTAAACTCAAGATTATATAGAATTAATAATGTTTATATGATAAATTGTAATGCACTAGTTTTACTTTTGTGCAAATGACTTTGATGCAACTCAACTTAGTGGGGATAAATTGAAGGGTTTACTTCTGCACAATTTGACTCTGATGCAACTTAACTTAGTGGGATAAATGGAGGGTTTAACTTTAGCTCAAATTTAACTATAATAGTATTAAGAAATAATAATATTATAGATAAGATCGGAGTTGGAAATTCAACTGTGACACTTGTATCTGTATGTAATAAAGTTACATTCGTGCTCCATATTAAAACGGATTAGTATGTAATAAGGTTGGTTCCGTGCTGCATAACGGGTGTTAACAAAACATAACGGCCGTCGGTGTGTTTTTCAGCACTAAATGGACTTTTAAATGTAATTCAAAATTTTAATTATTTTTTTCATTCTAAATTGAAGCAACAATTCGGTGGTAGCGTGGTGGTCCAACATGTGCTGAGAAAGTTTTCTTTCTTTGGTTTCTGTTCTACAGAACTTAGGAGTAATTATAACTGTTACTTTTCTCTCTCCTCTCTCTTATCGGTAAGGAGGAGCTGCTCTGTGTTCTCGAGTTACTTCTACTTTTAAATTTCACAGCAGCAGATACGATTCATCAAATATGGACTTGCCCAGAACGTCAAAACTCCAAAACCCCAGAACCATTTGACTTTGTTTTCCTTGCTTTCTCTTTTGTATCATATCATATATACATATGTGTGTATGCGTTGGTGTATTGTCAAAAAAAAAAAAAAAAAATTCTGTGAATCTGTCATTATCTGGTTTTGTTCTCCGGTTCAAACCGGTCTGGATATTTCATGATTTATACGGTTAAGATTATTCCTTTTCTTTGCGTTCAAACTGTTTGATGGAAGTTCCAGAAAAGCACATCTGATCTGCCTTTTTTGTTGCCTAATTACAAATTTGGCCTCTCTCTGTATGTTGGAGTTCACCATGATCTTAAAAGGTGCCTTTTTCCCCTTCTTTGTTTAGTGTTCTTTAATTGGTTAATTAATATTTGTGTTTTTGTTTGATACCCGCAAGTTTCTGTGTTGGAGTTCCTGTATCAAAACCCTAGATTTCAGTTCCATCTAAGCTCGAAGAACCCATCTTTTTTAGCTCTTTGATTTTGAGAGTTTATGATGATGATGAGTTGTGGAATATTTAAAAATTTCATTAGGGTTTCAGCCATATTTTCATTTGTATGCTTTTGTAGAGGATTTAGTCCTGCAGACAATTATCTAATAGACTGTGGATCACCTACTAACACTACGGTAGGGGTTCGCGTTTTCGTGTCTGATGATTTGGCTTCGAAATTCCTTTCAACCCAGCAAAGTGTTTTGGCCAATTCCTCTTCGAATTCTATCCCATCATCCGGTGATGATTCACAGCTGTATCGTACAGCAAGAATTTTTACCGGAACCTCTAAGTACACATTTTCAATCAGCCAGAGAGGTCGAAAATGGATTCGCCTTTATTTCTTCCCATCTGTTTTTGGGAATTACAATTTGAGCTCGGCAAACTTCTCTGTTTCTGCCCAAAATTATTTACTCCTTGATAATTTCAATCCTAGTACCACTTCTGTGAAGGAATTCTCTGTAAATGTGACATCGACTACCCTCGTAATCACATTCATCCCTTCCAATAATTCTGTTGCCTTCTTAAATGCCTTGGAAGTTGTTTCAGTCCCCGATATGCTCATTACCGATAATGCTGCTTCTGTTAATCCATCCGGGAAATTCGAAGGCCTTTTGTTCCAGGCGTTGGAGACTGTGGCTAGGGTGAATATGGGTGGACCAGCTTTGTCATCTGAGAATGATACGTTATGGAGAAGTTGGGTTCCTGATCAAAATTTCTTGGTACAAAAGAACGGTGTCACAAGTGTGTCAAAGATCAGTGCTGTTAGATATCCTTCAGGTGGGGCAACACCTGATATTGCTCCTGCTACTGTCTATGGTACTGCCACTGAGATGAAGGCAGACAATCCTAATGACAATTTCAATATTACATGGCAGTTCATTGTGGATCCAGGGTTTCAGTATCTTGTTCGATTTCACTTCTGTGATATAGTGAGTGCATCTCCTAACCAGCTATACTTCAATGTCTATATTGATTCTTGGAATGTAGCTCCAGATTTTGATTTGAGTACTAAAACAATTAACATGCTGGCTACTGCGTATTATATGGATTATGTCACGCCATTATCTGATAAAAGTACTCTTCGCATTAGTGTTGGCCCATCTGTGACTTTAAGTGTATACCCTATAGCCATTCTAAATGGACTGGAGATTATGAAGATGAACAACTCTTTGGGCAGCCTCAGCGGGATGGCCTCTGTAACGCCTTCCTCTACACCGAGCTCAAAGAAGAATGTGGCCATGATAGTGGGACTGAGTGTCGGGGTGTTTGTTGCTGTGGTGTTGGTTAGCGTTCTCTTTTTCATGTGGAGAAGAAGAAAAGTTGCACGTCTTGGCCATTCAAAGACATGGACTCCTTTATCCATAATTGGAGGAACTTCACGCACTATGGGAAGTAAATATTCTAATGGAACAACTATCAGTGCTGGTCCTGATGTTGGGTATCGATTTCCTTTTGTGGCCATTCAAGAGGCAACAAATAACTTTGATGAGAGTTGGGTTATTGGAGTTGGTGGTTTTGGAAAGGTTTACAAGGGAATTTTAAATGATGGTACAAAATTGGCTGTTAAGAGGGGTAATCCCCTGTCCCAGCAAGGCCTTGCAGAGTTCCAAACAGAAATTGAGATGCTATCTCAGTTCCGACATCGCCATCTGGTTTCATTGATTGGGTACTGCGATGAGAAGAATGAAATGATCTTGATTTATGAATATATGGAGAATGGAACCCTCAAGAGTCATCTCTATGGCTCGGGTCTTCCCAGCTTGAGTTGGAAGGAGAGGCTTGAGATATGCATTGGGGCAGCCAGAGGACTTCACTACCTTCACACTGGCTATGCAAAAGCAGTTATTCATCGTGATGTAAAGTCGGCAAACATATTGCTTGATGAGAATCTCATGGCCAAAGTTGCAGATTTTGGACTTTCAAAGACTGGACCCGAGATTGATCAGACCCATGTAAGCACAGCGGTGAAAGGGAGTTTTGGATATCTTGATCCTGAATATTTCAGAAGGCAGCAGTTGACAGAAAAATCAGACGTGTATTCCTTTGGTGTGGTTTTGTTTGAAGTTCTATGTGCGAGGCCTGTGATAGATCCATCACTCCCAAGGGAGAAGGTGAACTTGGCTGAATGGGCAATGAAGTGGCAGAAGAGTGGGCAGTTGGAGCAAATCATAGATCCTAACCTTGTGGGAAAAATAAGACCAGATTCTCTTAGAAAGTTTGGAGAAACAGCAGAGAAATGCTTGGCTGACTATGGCGTCGACAGACCCTCTATGGGGGATGTCTTGTGGAATCTGGAGTATGCACTTCAACTCCAAGAGGTAGTTCTTCAAAATGATCCAGAAGAAAACAGTACTAATAATATCATTGGCGATCTCCCTCCACCTGTCAATGATTTCGACCATACCAATACTAGTGCTTCAGCTGCTCCTGCTGAAATGTCAAGTGTGGATGATCTTTCGGGTGTTTCAATGAGTAGGGTGTTCTCACAGCTGGTGAAGTCCGAGGGAAGATGACCAAGTAAAGATAGCATATTACTCGGGTTTAGCTCCTTTTCCGGTATTTCATTTGGTACATACACGTGTTCTTTTGTATTGTTGAAAGAAACAAGATACATACAACGCAAGAGTTGCTGGGATTCCCTTTTTGGCCGGAAGGACCTGCTCGTACCAGAATACTAGCTTGCTGGATTTGGTCATTGGATTGATTGAGGAGGGGCTTTGCTTGTACTCTTTCGCTATACATTCTAAATTAAACTGCATGGAAGCACTGTGAGTTACCTTTTGTACATAAGAGAGACCGATTAAAGTAAGTTTGAGGCTTGTGTTTGATAAAGATGTTGCGTCTAGAATTTATTGTGTTATACATTGCTTTGTTTTGTTATGTCTCCAAATATATTTTCTTTTGGTTTGTGATGAATCTTCTTCTTGTTCTTCGTGTGTTTTACGTGCGCTAATATCATGTTTGACTCCTAATTGATTCGTAATATCATTCTGCTTCTTATTCCCTGTGTAATTTTGCGCGATTTATTATTATTTTTTTTCAGTATCTTGTAGTTTATATTAAATGATGCTTACAAATAAATTACTAAAAAAATGGTTTATGACAATTACATTGCATGCCAAGCTCCCATCTTGCAGGGGGTTGATCACCTTGCAAGCAGATAGATTTATACAAACAAATCAGGGTATAAAGATCTCATGAATCTCTGAAAGGAAAAATATTTATAAATAAATAAATAACTGATTTACCACATGACATCAGGATGTATAACCAGAAAGAGGATTTCCCTATCCAATCCCATTTAGCATGAAGCCCTTGGGCCTTAGACATTTTTTTTTTTTTTTTTTTTTTTTGGGGATAAGTAATGAAGCCCTTAGACTTTGATTCATTCAGCTTGCTTCATTTTCTGATATGAAATTTATCAGTGCAACCTTTAGCTTTCACCAACCTCTCCTACAATCAATTGGAGTTGGGTCCAATAATGTTAGAACTCTGCCCTATAGTCAGGAAAATGTACTCAGAATATGGCTTTTTGGAAGAACTCGGATACTCTTCTGTGCCGTTTCATGATTTTGCTGCGTCCTGTCCCTCGATGTTGTTTATGCAACAATTTATTATAATTTGTCTTAATCCTATATGTATGGAGTCAGCCACGTATGAATTCTCTGTTTCCAATCTTATCTATTTCATGCCATTTCACCTGCTATATTTTTAACTTTCTGAAAATTTTAATAACCTCATCCCATGTCATCTTTTGTTGCCCTCTCCTTCTCTTACCTTCTACTACAACTAGTTTTCGTCGTTTGACAGTCGCGGCTCTAAGTCTTTGCTTGTGCAACAACTTCACAACCCCATTACATTGTTATTTCATAGTGTTGCACTTTGCCTGCTGCTGCAGAGTCACCTGTCTAGGCAGTGCTAGTATTTCGAATTCCTGTTGACTTGCTATATGTTTGACTTGAGCACCATTAGTGCCGCACTCAGAGTCACCTGTCTTCTCTTACAATCAATTGGAATTATGGTCCATTGATATTTTGCACTGCCTTCGGTCTCAAGTTGTTCCGTGTAATGTGGATTGTTTCAAGCAGTGGGTGAGTGAGGGGCATGATCATGAAAGAAGTGAATGGAAAACCTTTTCCGGAATTCAAACAACTTTTCTGCACTTTTTTTCCACACAAGAGGACCATGACCCGGAAAGCTAGAATGATTGAATGGTTGAAATTTTCATTGATATTTTCTTATATGTGTGGCGTTTGATTTATTATCTCCATCATTAATTGCGCAAAACAAGTATTAATCGGTTGTTATGGAATATAGTCCAAGTGCTGAAGAAATCACTAAAACATATACTCAGAATTTGAATGTGAAGGAAAATTATTACACTAGACATACAAAAATATCATTCATTCCTTCGAACTTTGGAACACGAATGCGACATTTATTTTCCTTCATTTTCTTTCAACTTTAACGACTTGTTTTCATCTGCTTCCAATATTGTTCACCAATCAGGCAGTCACTTTAAACCAAGCTCGGGCATAAATTATAAGATAAAGTTTTAAACATATATGATGCAGTTTGAGGCTTAAAGCAAAATTGCTAAATTAAGCGTTTTCACTTTGATTATATTGATACAATCTTAATAATTTTTATTTAAAAATTATTTCTCTACTTAACTTGCAATAAGCTCAAGGAAAATACAAAAACACTATTTACGTTTTTTAATTAACTTAATAGATAGTGATTTAATTGTGCACGGAATCTACGTGAAAGAGTCATTAAATTACGAAGCACAAAATTTTGAACCACTATTGCCATGCAAGAGAATATAAAAATAAGATCTAAAGCCTAGTTTGTTATGTAAGAATGGATTGGAATGGGCATTCCATTCCAACATTTCCCTTATTTAGCATGACATTTAGAATTGAAAGAATGTACATTCCCTTGGAATAAAAATACATTATACATCTAAACCGATGGAATGAAAATTCATTCCAATGGCCACCACCATCGCCTTCCCCCATCACTTTCGCCATCACCGTCATTGTCTTCCTCCACCGCCACCACCGCCTTCCACCACCACCCTCCACCGCCTTCCACCACCACCACCTTCCACCACCACCCTCCACCGCCTTCCACCACCACCACCTTCTGCCATCGCCTTCCATTGCCACCATCACCTTCTGCCACCACCACCACCGCCGCCAGCATTGCCTTCCACCATCGCCACTTAGAATTGTAATTAGCAATTCATTCTAACATCATTTTATATTTACGACCAAACAAGAAAATGAAAATAATCATTCCATTCCATTACCAACTTCATTTCATTCATGCATACCAAACAAAGCCTAAGTTCAAAAGTGAAAAATTGGTTACTATTGCCATGCAAGAGAACATAAAAATGAGAAGATCTAACTTCAAAAGTGTGAAATTAATTAATAGAAAAACAGATGTATTTATTTGGTAATTACTATAATATAGGAGGCATAAATAATTCATTAATATAGTTGTAACTAATATAAAAAAAAAAACTTGTTTTATTTAGTAATTAATATACATGAAGCATAATTTAATTCATTAAAAAAATATTTAACTAATATAAAAAGTTATGGTGCCTCTTCTCGGCCTTAGAATATGCCTTAATTGCCTTGTGATAAAGTGGATAAGACATTACTTAGGTCCTCACTAGTGAGAATCTACACTATCCTTACAGATTATGTACTCCAATGAAAAGAAAATTTGTCACCTTTTATTAAACAGGTTAGAAAAATAAAATAAATTGGATCCTATCCGAATGAGATCGGATAAAATGAGTTCAGCTATTTTTTTTCTTCTTCAAGGGTACAACTTCGCTTTTTGGTCCTCTCTTTCCCGCACCACCTCAACCCTCCTCTCATTTTTTGTTGTTGTTTGTAGAGCCCAGCTTGTTATGATGGATTATTACATGCTTGCAATATGCTCTCTCTAGTACACTTACTGATGGGTAACAGGTTTCTGGAATCTTTGGGGTTGTATTTGGTGAGGGTTGGTATCTTAGTGGATATTAAAATATGTTTAGGATGCATTACGTACTTTGCAAGTTGTGTAGGACTTAACCTTCCGAAAAAAAAAAACAAAAAACAAAAATTGGGTAGGACTTCAGGAGTAACTCAAAACTGGCTCCGTACCTTGAGTTTTGTTTTGTTGAACTTGCATTTTTGTCATGATGAGAACACAAAGATTCCAAGAGTAAGAGGTTCTCTTTCTGCGATGGCACATGGAAATTGATAAAATAACTATTTTTGAATCGGATAGGGATTGTAAGCCTGTGGTCTCAAGTAAAGAAATGAGAACTCTTAAGATAAATATTATATATATTTGTAGGGAACCCAAGATTACTTGCCACTATGGCTGCAGTAGCAAAGAACAAACTTAGTATACTTTTAAAATGTATACAACAATTCTGAATGCATAAAAGTCAGCATACCAAAGAAATAAAACAAAATCTGAAGAAAAAACTTTGCTTGGCGTCTGCCCTGTATCATGTAGTTACAATGGGTTAGGAACAACCCAAAAGGGCGGTGGTTGAATTTTCTGCATATTACATCGATAGAACAGTTCAAAACTTCTATCATCCAAGTTGAATATACCCATATCATGGCTCCCGTACAAGTAATCCTAATCCAATTGATCCCAATAATCGTCGGTGAAGTAAATTGAATTTGCCTTATATTCTGGAAAATCATGAGCAGAGAGTGACATCGAGTGATTCTCACCCAAAAATAACATGCAATTGCTTAAAGAATTTACCTTTACCCACTTCTTTTGACCAAATTCCTACTTATAAACTCTGAATTGCAATGTTTTGTATAAACCAAAGGGTGGTTTGTTTCACCATTGAGAAGGTCTTCCTTAAAAACTGGTACACCATCATAAACATACTCTCCAATATAACTCTCAACAAGCAAAAGATCACCTGATGTTTCTACCAAGTAGTACCGTGTAGTATAAAGATCTTTTTGCCAAGGTTCTTCCACTTCTTTTATAGGAAAAGAAGGATTAATAGTGGTTATTTTCAGAGGTAAGGAAGCATGGAAGCCCCAAACTTCAACCGAATCACACTCGAATAATGCAAAAAATAAATAATTATCATCGAATGTTATATCGCAATAAGGTGCACGCTATTGACCTTCAAGACCAGTCCATGCATGTAATGACCCGGTCATTTTCCTTCCTTTCCATTTTCTCAAATTTTACGGATTTTCTTTTTCGTTTGATTTTTCCTTTCCGAGTTTGGGTTTTTGTCATTGTATTGTTTGAGTACTCAGAAATACTTTTCGAAACTCTTTCTTTTGAATTGACAACGTCCTTGAGAGGACTGCATCATTTTCACACTTTCTTTTTTCGGCATTTTTTTTTTTTTTTTCGTCTTTTTCCCGGTTTCATTTTCCTTCGCGTAACCTCACTTTTTGCATTCAGATTTGGTTCCGGCTTTGCATGCATCCATGATATTTAATTTTCATGATATGTGTATTTTTACTTTTGTAGAAAAGCATGCTAATTGCTTACTTTTTCGTAAAGGGTGACCGGTCCTTTACAAGGGTCGCGATACCAAGTCAAGCTTGAAGAGTTGTGAATTTAGGAGGTGGCCAAGTTTTACATTTATAGAAAGCCACTACTACCTTTCTCTATATAAAATATAGATAGGTCGAGTAGGGATAGTCCCAAGGGATTTGATGATGTATCGAATTGTGAAACTATGGTAATTAGGGTTAGTAGGTCGAGTGATCACATAATTGATTGGTTGGTTGATTAAGCTAAATTGAATTCAACTAAATAAAATAATATGAAGTAAACAAGAGAGAGAGAGGTCTTGGGGTGTAGAGATCACCACCAAGAATACTTTTCTATACTACTAACAAGTGATCAATTGAGGGTAATGGATGTGTT